TAATACAAGTGATGCTCTGTCATCTTGGTGCTTGGGGAGGGGTCAACAGTGGGAGGGCTTCTAATGTCCTGGCCCCACTGGTGGACCTCCTGATGGCACTGGTATTTCTGGCCACTGTGGGATACAGAGTGTTGGACTGGATGGGCCTTTGGCCTGATCCAACATTGGCATATCTTATGTTCTTATGTGCACCTATAGATTATGCTCCTACAGACCTACATACCTGAGCACCATAAAGCAAATATGAGAACAAAAAAATGACCTCTATAATTTCAATTGTGTTTAATTGAAGGTGTGAAGCAATAACTTTGATTCATTTTTTTAAAAGTTGAGAAATGTCTGTTTTATAATGGTGAAGGTAAAGAAGGACCACATAATAGCGGAGAGATGCCATAGGGGGGTTTGTGCAGAAGCCAAGATGGGGCCAAAAATGGCTGAAAAATGGTGAGAAGGTGTGGCCAGATGGAAGGACAGATAATGCTGAGAGGAAAGCCCATCTTCCTACCTGCAGGGGAAAACAGCACTTCTGTTACACAGCAATTGCACTTAAATAAATTGTGACAAATTAGATCATCTGAATTGTAATACCTCAGTCAGCCATAGTGGTAGAATAAAATCTGAGCCCAGTAGCACCATAGAGACCAACACATTTTTCCATGGTGTATGTTTTCATCGGTCAAAGCTCACTTTGCCCAATACAACAAATTTAGAGTCCAGTGGCACCTTTAAGACGAACAAAAGTTTATTCAAGGTATGAGTGTGCATGCTCATGAAAGCTCATACCTTGAATAAACCTTTGTTGGTCTTAAAGGTGCCATTGGACTCTAAATTTGTTGTACTGCTTCAGACCAACATGGCTGACCAACTGGATCTATCTTTGCCCAATACAAATAAGAGTGAGGATCCTTTAAAGGAAAGCTATCAAACACTACTAAGCAAAAAAAATGAATTAAAAACAGAAGAAAAACTAAGACAGGAAAACAACTTCTCATGGTGGGAGCAGATAACATTAAGAGACAGATATAAAAAAGACATGATAAGAGGATTTGAAGATCAAAACAATGAACTAGATAAAATATGGCTGTCCTCAAATGATAAGTTAATTCAGAAGCTATATAAGTTTCTGCTAATGGACTTTGAACAGGACGAAGAAGTTAAAGCTGTAATGATCACCTGGATGAGAGATATAGGAGAAATAGAAGAGGAGAAATGGGCATCTATGTGGAAAATGGCTAAAACTATGAGAGCGATAGCATATAAAGAAAATGTGTTTAAAATTTTTCATAGATGGCATTGGGCGCCTGATAAAATAGCCAAATGTTATATGGGGTACTCGAATAGATGTTGGAAGTGCAAAGTTTGTAAGGGGACCTTCTATCATATGTGGTGGGAATGTAATAAGATACAAGGATTCTGGAGAATGGTGAAAAGAATATTTCAAGAAAGTTTGGGTATAAATGTAACACTAAAACCGGAAATATATCTGTTGAATATGATCCCGAGAGGTTATAAAAACCAAGATGCCTATATAATTAGTTATATCATAACAGCTGCCAGAATATTAATAGCTAAGCACTGGAAACTAGAAGGATTACCTACAAGAAAAGATTTGATAAATAAAATACTAGAACTAGCCAGGATGGATGACTTAAGTTTAAGGTTGCAGGATAAGAATGAGAAGGTACATAAAAGGAGATGGGAAAAAATTTATAAATGGATCAAAGATCAAACAGAAATGTAATATTCCTATTGTATAGGTAGAATGATAAGGAATAATGGACTCTGATTTATATGCAAATGAAGCAGATGAAATGTTTGTTAATGTAAAGTTTTGAAAATAATTTTTTTTTAAAATAATAAAAAAAAGAGTGAGGATCCATCAGTCCTTATACTCAGGTCAGAAGGTAGGAGGAGCCAAGTGGTGGAAAACCTCATATAGTTTGTCATAAAGAGTAAATTCTGCTTCCTCAGCAGCGACGGCCACCAACTCTGAAATAAGCCAGTAATTGTCATAGATACAGAGCTACTATTGCAGGGGCTATTCAGTTGATGTTGTCTCCAGCATCATAAACTGTGCCTGCTGATATGTTTTGAGGAGCAGCAGTTAGCAGGGGTTGTCAGCGCATTTCACATCTGGCTTGTAATGCTCATCATGCTGTCAAATCATCTTCGTGCGCATGCGCCATTGGGTGCTTGTGCGCATCCTGTGGAGACTTGGGAAAAAAACCCTGTTTGCAACGGGACATGGGCGGGCACTGGATGCCACGGACTACCACCGGAAATGTGATCAGACGCCAGCCCTTGCCCCGCAGTTTCCGGAAACTAGTACCTCTGAGGTACTAGTTTTTAACTCCGCATCTTCGGCAGGAAGCCTCGGGTTCACCATGGGAGCTCTACGCTTCCCAGATGTTGCGGTGTGATTGCGCCCAGAAAATCCGCCTATCATCCGTCTCAGTAGAGTGGTTAATGCTCCATGTGACTGCAGCCTGGTATACACAAGAACAACTCTGCTGGATCAGATCAGTGGTCCATCTAGTCAGCAACCTGTTTTGCACAGCAACCAAGCAATTGCCCTGGTGGGCTAACAAACAGAGCATAAAGGCTATGACCTCTCTTTGATGTTGCCTTCTAACCATGGTATTCAGAGATTTGGTGCCACTAAATATGGAGGTTTCCCTTTAGTTACAATGGCTGGTAGCCATTGATGGACCTCTCCTCCATGAATCTGTCTCATCTTGTTTGTAAAACCACCCATTCTCATGGCCAGGTTTGGACTGTGGCTTTGTTAGAAGATATACCATAGGCAAAGATTATACTGTAGGAAAAGATTATAAAAAACGAATTGTATTTATATCATTGTGGAACAATAACTTTCAAGGTAATATTGAATCATAGGCATTCTTTTTCTAAAAGAAAATATGAATGTAAAAATTTCAATAAAGTGCAATCAGAATATTCTTTTTTAAACAAAAAAGCCTTAGAACAGCTCAACGCAACTTGTTTTTGCACATGTAAAGATAAGTGGTAGCTGGAATACTGCCCAAGTTAAAACAAAAAGATGTACGTAGACCTATGTCCGTTTTATTCCTGCTTGTGTATTCTCAAGAACATCTACCTTTCTAGTGCAAGGGAAGGGAAATTAGTAATTCTAAAAGACAATAATGTTGCCCTCTGTTGTACCATATGGAATGACAGAATCTACAGTTCCACATATTGTGTCTTCTCTTTCTAAATTCCTTTAGTATATGGCAGGATAAAAGAAGTCTTTTTTCCTGAACTTCCACATTCTTTTAAGCCCTTGACATCATACTAAATATTACAGAGATCAGAGAGTTGCCCATCTGAATGCAGCAAAACCTAGGCAAACGTGTTCCTATGGCGAGATTTATGGCATGGCACCGTTCTGGCATTTCTGTTTGCCTCTTCTCCAACCATACGCACGAAAACAATTCCAGAGGGATATTCGTGTTAAGACAGTTGTAGCAACACTAAACAAGAGTCCAGTGGCACTAACTTAAAAACGAACACAATTTATTGCAGCGTGACCTTTGTGAGTCAGAGCATCAGATGCACAAAGATTATTCCCCACTCTCTTTCAAACATAGACAGTAATACGATGTAGACTTATTTGGGAGAGAGCCTCATTGAACATACAGAGCTTTTAGATAACAGTAAAGATTCAAAAGGTAAATGCTGAAAGAATAGATAGATTCAAGTCCAGTAGCATCTTAGAGACCAACAAGATTTTGGTGGGTATAAGCTTTTGAGAATTAAAGCTCCCTTCGTCAGATGCTTTGTATCTGACCAACACAGCGATCCTCAGAAACTATTTAAAAAAAACGGCCAAAGCAGGAGACACGTCCTATACAACACAAGCAATCTTACTCTTTCCTGTTCTTTCTCCTTTTTCCAAAAGAAATGAACTCTGGCCCCAGTCACACAGGCCGGATATCGCGGGGGGAGGCGGGGCTAATTGCCCCGGTGCAGTTTGATGCGTGATTACGTGATCAGACGCGCCGGCGGCACACCACGGGTCTTTCCCTCGGCACCGGCAGGTAAACGAGGGACCGGAGGGGAATGCCACACGCCGGCGTGATCACACCACAGGCATCTGGAGGTAGCCTGTGGCAAACGTTTACTAGTACCTTGGAGGTACTAGTTTTTTAAGGCGCATTGTCGGAGGTAAGCCACGGATGTGCTCCACTTTTCAGATGTTGGGGTGTGATCGCACCTGGATAATCCGCCCACCATCCGTGCCTCTCCTGTGGCAACTTTGCCGTGTGACCGGAGCCTCTGATTTGCAAAAGCTCACACTCGAATAAATGTTAGATCAAGATGGACAGCCCTGTTTGTCTTAGAAAGGAGTAAGACTCCCATAGCACCTTAAAAACTAACAGAATCTGTGGTAAAAATCAGGTGGATAGCCATGTTGGTCTGAAGAAGCAGAACAAAGTTGGAGACTAGTGGCACCTTTATGACCAACAAAGTTTTATTCCATAGTGTAAAATTTCGTGTGCAAAACACACTTCTTCAGACAAATCAGATTTGTGGTAGCTTATGAGCTTTCGTGAGTTCCTGAGATACAGCCGAAGAAGGCGCTACGGCACTCGTACGCTTTTCTAGAATAAGTCTTTAAGGTGCCGCTGGACTTCTGTTTGGTCCTTAAAATCACCAACATCCTCCCCCCTATTCGCGGAATGGTCCTTCCCTAGAATAATGAATGGAGAACGCCCCCTTCCTTCAAGGAATGGTACGTCCCTCGCGCACAACTGCTAACGCCGCCGCCGCCATTAGCCCCGGCCGGTTGGGGCCGGCTTTTCTCTGCCATACACTTTCTGAGGCTAGTCAGCGTGCTCGTGGTCCGGAAGCGCTTGTACAGCCTGCCCCGGAAGAGGAGGAGTGTTGGACGAAGGGGGCTTGTCCCTGGTGGCGGACGGAGCAATAGTAGCGGCGGCAGAAGCGAGGCCGGAGGGAGGAGGAGGAGGAGGCGGCGGCGAGGAAGAAGCGGGAGGCGGAGCCTCAGTGTCCTCGCGCGGCTAGAGTGAAGTCGGGCGTTCGCTGCTGGCTGGGGGAGGAGAAGGAGGTCCCCGGGGGGGCCTGCCGGGATTGGGTCGGGAGGGCCACAGACGCGGGTGGGAGGCTGGAGAGAGAAGATGCTGCTCTTCGTGGAGGTAAGGGAGCGAGTGGGGGCGGGTTGAGCCACGTGACTCCGCTGGCGGCGCGCGCTCGGCCGCCTGGTCGGAGTGGGGGGATGGGATGGGACTGACACAGCAAATCCGTGCAGGCGAAATTATTTTCTTCTTCTCAACCCCCTCCCCCCCTTTAAATGAAAACTTTCATGGCGGGGCGCGGGGAGAGAAGGTGCTTGCCGGTTGGCGGTGATTGAGGGCGACGCGATCACGCGGCCGGCTGGGCGGGTAATGTGGCGGAGGGTGTCGGTGGTTTGTGTGTGTGTGTGTGGGGGGGGTGGTTGAAATGAGGGAGGCAGGCAAGCAGCCGCACACGGGAGGGAGGCGGTTGGATCCGTGTGGGGTGGGCGTGTGTGTCCGCCAAGGGCAGCGAGTCTCCGGAGAGGCCTCCTCCTGTGAGGCTTGGGTGTAGGTGCGCGTGTGGGTGACGGGAGGCTCCGGGCCATGGAAGCGTGTCTTGGATTGTGAAAGCAAGGCAGGCCTAGGGGACATGATGGACTGCGTTGGAAGGGCGTTTAATGTCGATAGGAGTGCCTTGCAAGTTTCTGTATGTCTGCCGCTTTGCTTGGTCGGCGAAGCGGCGGGGAAAGGGAGCCTGGGAGAGGGGAGGCCTTGAAAGACACTGCAATGACCTTTTGCAAAAGTTGCTCTGGTGGCTGCTGCGTGGAACATGGCCGGGCACGTGTGAAGGTTACACACCGATTGAGGCCCACGCTGGGGAGAATGGAAATCACTCCAACCATTTTTATACCGCCTCATTTCTCCCCCCCCCCCAAAAATAAATAAATAAATTCAGGCAGAACTCTTTTCCCTCTTGCTTTTTAAACCGCAGACACATGAAATACATGTAAAGTAATCAGCTGCCAGCTTACTTTCTCTCTTATAGCTAATGCTTTGAATAGATTCCAGATTTTATTGTTCTTATTGTAGAAATGACAGAGTAGCAAAACTGCAATTTAGCAATTTGGTGCTTGCTTAACTGTGCTCATAAGGAGAGCATGCTTTTAACTGGGATGGGTGTAATTTTTGCATTCTGACTTGTGACACTGGATGACTTAATCTTCTTTTCTTGTCTTATTCCGAGGTCTTACTGAGGGAGAATATTGCAGTTGTGTTATTTCCTTGAACTGAACAAAATATTTCTGAATGCTATAACAGTAATAGTTGCAAGAAGTGTTGCATAGCTAAATCTGTAAACTAGCATATGGCCAGAGTTTTCATACTCTGCAAAGTCAAAGTTTGGAATAATTTGTAAGACTGAACTTTGTTTATTGTACCTATATGTTTTTCTGGTTAAGATAGGTAAGGCACTTAAATTGGAAGAACATAAATTGCACTTTATTATTGTTTTTTCATAGTCTGAATTATAAATCAGTCTTTTGCATGTTCCTTTGGAAATACCCCCCACGTTTACATAGGTTCATAATCTATCAACATTGCACTCTCATAATCTAATTAAAATAGTATATTGGGAAGGAACAAATATTTCTTTAAAGTTGATGGCCTGGCTAAATTAACATGTGTGTCATTAGGGGCTTCTTATGTGCTGTGTAACAATATCACTTTTGTGTTATACCATTAGGGCTTTTATTATCACTATTATCTAATAGCAGGGCAGTTAACATGCCCAGTCTGTGCCTCCATGCAGGCTTTTGTTGTTTCATTTTTGTCAATTTTACTTTATTTGATATTTTGTAAAGCATAGCAGGAATTGTTTGAAATTTCACTTTCTTTTCTCATTATTTGGTCTGGTTGAGTGCCAGCAGGTACACATGCATGACTTGAAGGCTAGGGACTAATTAAAGTTACTATGATCTGAAGTGAATCTGAAAAATGAAGTTGTACTCTTTGTAATAAAGTATTGTTATTGTATTTGATGATGTTAAGACTGGAATAACAAACTATAAGGGAAGGGAGTGAGGAGTTTGAGAAGAAGGAATTTATTCTAGTCTAAATTTTTCTTACTGGAAAAATGGTATGCCTGTCAGTCATGAGTCATCATTTTTCAATACGAAAATCCTTTTGCAAGTATACAAGTTTCAAAAGTACAGTGCAATCCTGTACAGAGTTATTGCACTCAGGACCCATTGATTTCAGTTAGCTGAGACTGGAGTAGCACTGCAGGGGATTGCACTGTTAATATGTTATACATTTTCCCGAAGCTACAAAAGGTGGAAAGATTAAACACATGGTCAGGGTTTTAAAGCCTTTTCTAATTGATACTTGTTCGGAGAAGAGCCACTGGAAAGGCAGGTCAATTCCAAATATGTACAACTGACACCTTATCCAATAGAGCTCATTGGGTTATAATTTTGTGTGAAATTGCCACAAGCGTGTTCATAAATCAGTAGATTATTCTACTGCATTAAATTATTTCATACCAAATCTCTGTTGTACTGGAAGAAGCTTAGGTCAGTATATTCTTATGGAATTGGTGATTCGGATTTGCTAATTTGAAGCGAAGTGGCTCAGCTTGAATTATAGCAACATGGCTATCATGTTATTTCCTTGTTATATTTTTGCTGAACAAATGTTTCAGGAAACAAGAAGAACAAAGTTTGAGTCCAGGGGCACCTTTAAGACTAACAGAGATATCTCAAGAAGTGTGCATGGACATGAAAGCTTATACCTTGAATAAAACTTTGTTGGCCTTAAAGGTGCCCCTGAACTCAAACTTCGTTCTGCTACTTTAGACCAACGTGGCTACCCACCTGAATCGTTCAAGAAATAAAGACATTCTTGTTATAGCTATAAAGACTGTATACTGCTCAGTGTCTGGCACTAATGGCCTGCGTCCTCTTACTAGAACCTGGGCAAAAGACACAAGTTTTTAGATTGCTGTAAACAAAGTACGCATTGGACCCATCATGTACAGCAAAAGAAATGTATAGTGCTCCCTATAATACCTTGGAATAAGGGAAGTCAAGGCCTGGAAACAAAAGGCTGTGGCTTCCTTTATTGAGTCAATCCATGGGATAGATTGACAGTAAAGGAAGCCATGGCCCTCAGTTTGCAAGACCTGAGCAAGTCTGTCAGTGATAGGACATTTTGGAGGTCATTAATTCATGGGTCACCGTAAGTTGGAAGCAACTTGATAGCACATAACACAGAGACATTTTATAGCGTACCCTTTTGAACGTACTGCAAAATTAGGAGTTAATCATATGCTGGTAACAAAGCAGCCATTTTATTTGAGTAGTTTTCATATAGTTACTTAATGCCTTCGTCAAAATGGCTAATAATAAGAAGGGTTTTTAAGATGTGGGTGCAGAAAACTAAACCTGCATATTTCATTTTATTTGTGCTCTCCTCTTACACCGTGGAGCTCACAGCATTTTTCAGATGATTCCTAAGTGTTCTGCCACTCAGGATCAAATCGTCTTATTTTCCACGGTTGCTTTTACTGTGTGCCATAATTAACCTGACATTGAATAGAGTTATTAAAACAAAAATATGACTTAACCTTCCCTCTTAATGAAGGGGCCCAAATATGCCTGTCAACTTTGATCCAGTGTCCTTGTTCACCTTCAATAGCTTCCTTGAAAACTGCAAACTGGAAAACTTGGTAGTAGATAATAAATACAGATGGTCATATTTTCTGTGTGAGTCAGGTTAGGGTGAGAGAATGACTTGCGCACAGCTACACAATAAATTTTATGGTTATGGGATCTGAGACTTTCACAGCACTTAATTTTTAACATCTTTTCATATCCATCATGCTACTTTGTGCCTGCACAATAGCTTCAAATTCAGCAAGACTATGCTGTCTTGTTTAAATATTGGGAGACAGTGAATAGCTCCTTATGGAAGTATCTGGGAAGTTACTTTATTCTACAAAATTTATATCTCACTTTTCTGCCCTCACAAGTGCCACCAAGGCAGCTAACAAATTAAAAACATACATTTTAATCACATTAAAGCTCTTCAGTTAGGTGTTATTACCTTGTGCAGAGGTTTTGTGTTGTTTTTTTTTGCCATACCTATTCATTCTGCTAGTTTGTTTGTCCTAGCAGCAAACAGCTTGGCAAAGCTCCTTTGTGGATTGTGGTGTTCAGTGTGCCAATTCAGTATGTGTGGTTCCAGAAGCTTCCACCAAAAGTATCCTTAAGTGCAGCCCATAATTGTTCCACTGGCCAAGTGGCAAGTAAACCATAGTCATGGGTGAGCTGAAGAAGGCAAGTGGTTAGTAAACACATTACATTTTATACAGATCATATTAATGTTCTCTTTTCCCCGGAAGTGTTTCTGATTATATTTGAGGCATAATTCTCAACAGGCTGCCGATCAAAGGGGAGAGGTTTTTTGGATAGTATGTTGTACTTAGAATGACATTCAAACCATTCTCCTGGATATTCCTTCTGTGAATCATCTGTTCTGGAACATGTTCTCAATAAATATTGTCTCATAAGGCAAGATCTGGTCACTACAAACGAGGACTAATTCCATTAATGTTCTGCTTAGAATTCCTTACTCTTATTAATGTATTCTTACAAGCAGCATGGGTATAACTGAATGATCTGAGAAGGATTATGTTTGTATTTGCATTGCTAAAGTAGAGGAAATTATTGCAACTTGTCAAGATTTGTAAAATGAGAGGCTCTGCCACAAAACCATATTTTTAAAAAGGTTTTTTATTGAATGACAACCTTGTGCTTTTTATGAACCAGACAGCCTTGCTAGGATGTCTGAATACAACCAGATTATCACTAGCAATGCCTGACCAATGTAACATTGTGGAGAAGGGGAAACCTTAAAAAAACATAGAGTGGAGGGACAGTCAACACTGATAAAGTAGTGCTCCATACCCAATTGCAAGACTACTTGAGGCAGGTTGGTTGTCCTGTTAATATTTCTTCTAGTTAATTGCTTCTTCCCGTTTCTTGTGGCAGAACTAGGACAGCAAATTCTTCCCCCAGAAGTTCTGTAAGAAATCTGTGATGTTACTTCACATGTTCTTCTGCACTGCTGCCATGGGACAATCTTACCTTGATTCTGAGGATACTGTGCAGTTTCATAATGCCTGAAAGTTTAAGGGAAGAAAATGGTTTGTTACCGTAACTGAGTTTGTAAACTCTAGAAGAAATGCTGTAGGTGCTAGCTGAGCATATGAAACTATACTATTGTTTAGATCGTGGCGGGGGCAGGAGTGTATGTGGCCAGATTGCTTCCTTATGTCCTGTTTTTTTCTGTTCTGTGGACAGGGTATGGTACTAAAACCACTCCTTGATGCTAGAGAGACTCCAGAAGGCTAAACTCTGGAAATTCAGCTTCATTATTCTCTGGCCTGTGCTTCTCTGTGGCAAGATGGTCAGTGCTTGTTCAGTATTACTATACTGTCCTAATAAATAAAAGGCTTATTTATTGTTAGTATACTTCTGTTGTTCAGAGAAATGCTTATTAGGTTCTTGAATTTTTCAGTTGGGTACAGGACTGTGAAAACTAAGAGCCAAGGTCCAGTTCTTATATGCCAGCAGCAAACCTTTAAATATGCAAGCAATTGGGTGCCTGGGAGCTCTTAATAATATTTGCAGGCTCATAACCTGAGTAGTGCAATAGTTTATTGGTAAAGTCACAGAAGCTGGAAAACTGCAAGTAAAATCTTTACATTTTCATACATACAGCCTTCCTCAAACTGTTTATGGTCTTCGTTGATGTTGCCCCATGGAGAATAAATATCTCTGCAGAGTAATCAGTGTTTAATTTTTCAAGTTTAATTGGTGTTTACAATGGGATATTGTTAAAAGGGAAAGCTTATTTGTACACAACTTGAAATTATTTCATTGGGTTGATTGAACAGGGCTGGCATTTATGTGATTATTGTGAAATATGTTTGCTCAGCCTCCTTGACAGGTGGTAGCTGTGCAAAATAAACTTTTAGCATCCCCCACATCTACTGTTGTCCCTTGAACAAAAGGACATACTATTTAGAAATAGTTTTTCCCGTTTTAAAGAGTTTAGATCAGATTTCTGGTGATATTGTGATATATGCTCTCAGTGTCAAGGCATCTTCGCATATCTGTTGGCTTACTGCAAATGCTGTCTGGGAGGTAATGTTACTGAAACAAAAAGCAGTATTAGAGATGCTGCAGAATTTGCCAACGTCTGTGGGCTTCAAGTTTTCTCTGTTAGGTTGATTATTAGGTTCATTTACCACTTCTGCAAGAGAGCAAGTTTGGTGAAGTGGTTAAGAGCAGCGGACTCTAATCTGGAGAACCGGTTTTGATTCCCCACTCCTCCACATGAAGCCAACTGGGTGACCTTGGGCCAGCCTCACCTCTTGGCCCCTAAAAACAAGTCTCGTTTGCCACTAGCATAACACTAAGAGCTAGAACTTGCGGCTGCCAGACAATCTCAGGATCTCCTGGCTATTCTACACATAATGCCGTAAGATAATTATTATTTATTATTGTTACAATTTCTGCAATTTCTCCTGAAAAGCTGGCTAAACCTTTGGAAAGCTTTAGCTAAAAGCTTATTTTAGCTCATTGGGGTAGATTCTGAAACAGGGTGACTGCAGAAGGATAAATAAAACATTTACAGAAATTCAGAAAATGTTCTAAATAACATCTTTTGGAATTTGTGCACCTATTTTTGCCCATCTCCAAATAATGTTTCACAAAACATAGATACTTCAAATCCCCTTACTACAAACTGCAATGAAGCCTAGTGTGGAAAAATTGATAATGTAGGGATTGGGAGTGATAGCATTGAGAAACATGGCTGTTTCAGTTACTAAGGAAGCTGTGGCAGTGGGGGGAGAAAAGCCAGATCTGTGTCTGTTGTATATTTGATCCAAATGCTAGTTCATCACAGTTTGTAGAAAGTGCCTGTGGTTGCCTGAGTTCCAAAAAGCAGACTTGCTCCAAAATATGGTTAGTAGCAGAATCTTTCCTAACTTAATAGGCGTTAAATCTGCTAGTATACCTTGTAGAGCTGCTTTCCTTATTTTAAAAGCATCATGGTGTTGCAAGAGCTGATTGCTTTTATGAGATTTATTTTGGAATTGAGCAAGGAGCAGTACATCAAGTAGATATATTTCAGAAGGAGGAGATGACAACATTGAGAATATTTTTTTTTCTCACTTAATTAAATGAACACAGTAAAAGTGTTTCTATTCAGCACCTGAATATCTGGGACACTTGGTTAACTGGCATCACCAGAAGGACAATTTACTTCACCCCATCCCCATATCCCTGTGCCTTCAGGTGTGCATGTGTGCTCTCCTTCCCCCTGCCCCCCAACTCTAGCCAGCCAGCTTGATGCCTTTGGCTGTTGTTAGGCTCCTGAGAGCATGTAGTGTCATCCTTTGATATCTCCTTCTCCCTCAGTCTGCTTTGAGCTGTTGGGAGACATCTTTTATCAGCGACCAGTCCACGGCTTTGGGGGGGGAGCAAGGTTCCTGCAAAGTGTGGGTGATGGTGCCATGGTGTTCCAAAGGAGGTTAGGGTTTCATTGCTGTGGCTTCTTCTGAGTAGAGGTGAGGCAGAACAATAAGCTTAAGTATCTGCCATGTTTGATTTACCAGGGGGAAAAAAACACCATTCCCATGAAAGCCAGGTGACTAAAAATGTATTGTAGTTTGTAGGCAAAATCTGGCCGCCAAGCTGAATTTTAGAGAGGAGGTGTTCTCCAGAAGTATAGTACAAGTTTTTTGCAATGTTCTTAAATATTAGTTTGCTAATACACCTTGTGTTTTCTCAGCAGGTAACATCGAAAGGGGCCAGCTTAAATCCTAATGCAAAAGTATGGCAGGAAGGCATGCAAGGAAACTCAGAGGCTGCCCCAGGAACTAACAGCACTGAACATTCATGGCAAGAGACGGCAGCTGTGCCGGGAAGTTGTACAGAGGGTAAGATGTCAAGACTGTACTTTGAAATGCTAACAGTAGCTTAATCTCTTGTTTAGTTAGGACTGTGTATATAGTACATGGGTCTAAGTCTTTCAGAAAGAAGCAATCAGCGCTCTTGTCTTTTGAGAGTACAGTTTTTGAGAGTACAGGAGGGAGGGGTATAAATCAAATAAATAAATAGTAAGTAGCGATGCACAAATAATGACATATGGTAATGGGCAGCTTCAGAAGGTAGAAAGTAGGGCTCTGATCCTGAGTACCTGTGTGATTGTGAATGGAGGTGCTTTATGTTGCTTCTTACTAAAGTTGCAAAGGCCCGGTGATGACCAAGTATCGCGCTAAGAGGGAAACAAGTTGCTAAATTTGCAGAAATGAGTTCTCCCTCAGTTTCTTCCTTTCTTCTGTTCTTGTTTTCTTTTTCTCACCTTTTGTCTTGAGCTTTTTCTCACCATTTCTGCACTTTAGTGAACACTTGACCCTGTGACCAAAAAAGATTATGAGATCTGAGGGCCATTTGCAACCAAAGTAGGCTGTTGAGTTGTTCTTAGGAGAATGATACTTTGTAAATAATGCATTAGTTAAAAGATATTAACCCAAAGAAATTGGCTGAGAACTCTTAAGAGAAACAACACTCTCTTCCTGCTACTAATGATACCAGTAGATTTAATTGATACAAATAAATTGTATTAGCTGCCTTTGGGGAAAATGGCATGCGTTCTGAAAGCTGCGTCTAGCTGCAGATTATATTAAGCTCAACAGGTTAATTATTTCTTATTATATTTTAGAATAAAAATATTCTATTTTAGAATAGATGTCATATTGTAGGTAATGGTTACTTTTTTGTGTAAGTGAAGAGGACCAAGACAATGTGCACTTAAATCTTGCATAGGTTAATAATTCTTAAGCACATGTTTCTTGTGTTAAAAATTTACATTTTGCAATCTCTCAATAAGTATAATAGCATTGGTGATATAACACAAAGGAGTATTTGAAGTCTTTCATATACTTTGCAGTCCCCAAGAACAGTGTGGATTGGAGAGCAATATTGGATCTGAAGTTTCTAAGTATCAGATAGCAGAGCATCACAATGGAAGAACATTGGCATAAAGAGATACACCGTGTCAGTTAATTGAGCTTACTGTTTGCTCTGACCTTCATACCAAAAGTCTTCATTAGGATCATGATGGATGTGCTGCCATATCTCTAGTCTCTTACCTTTATGACCTGCTACTGAGATCCCTATCCAGGGGCTACATGATGGAAGGCAGTGGTGGTGACCCAGTGCATGAGAAGTTATGGAAGCTGATCAATAAGCACAAAAGCTCCATGCTTCCAACTCAGTCCTTACAACCTTTAGGTTGTGTATGCATGCATGTGCACGGAATAGGCAAAGTGTGGGAAGTTTCTTCTCTAATTCCAAAAAAGAGAAGGTGGTAAAATAAGTGGACCCTTTGAAGTCAGCTGACTTAAGTGTTTCTGGTTTGTCTGCAGGATTCATTGATGTCTTCTGTCATGCCAAGAAGTTAAAATGGGGACTTCCATTTTATCAGGATGGCATCACCAGGAGGCATATAATCTGCATCTTAATTTTGTTGCATTGGAGACAGTTTAGTTGGTGACTGTCCAAGAGAGGTTTTTCCCAAGTCTAGCCTTAACATGCAGGTCACTAGAGATACCAATGGGCTGGGGGACCCAGTGTCAGGAAATCTAATCATGAGAACTGGGATGAGGAGAGCTTTAACTACAATTGACTTAAGTTGATGGTCTTCAGGCCAACCTTGCTCTTTTCCAGACTTCAAAGGACAGGCAGTGTGACAGCAAAAGCATGTGTCTACTGGCAGGGTGGTACAATACTAAAAGTTTTTCAGTGGAAGCAGTGCTTCTGCTGTCATGAACAAACCCTTTTGCTCCCCAACCATGGAACACATCTGGGCATTCAACGATGCCCAAGTGGACTGGCTCAGTCAACAGTACCTATGGGAATGGATATGGAAGCCAGAGCTTGACCAGTAGGTGCATGGTGATTTAAATCTTCACAACTGGATCTTTTTGCCTTCCCGCATTTACCCATCAGTCAAATGTTTTTGAATGTGGTACTTGTGCTAATCTGCAGAAATAGTTTGTCTTGAAGTCATCATGTCTTATGGAACTAATCCATGCCATCCGTCCTATCCAAATCTGGATTTTTTAGAGAAGGATGTCCAGGTGATACAGTTTCTAGTGTTCAAACTCTTAATAATGACTCCCTGTGAGTCATCTTCTAGAATTCAGCACTGTCATAGCCTTCCTACATTTGTGTAAAAGAAAACATATGATAGTCTTGATACAACATGGACTCCTCCTTGTAAACTGGATTAGAGCAGTGTGTCAGTGCAAACATCCTGCTCAGTCTAGCAGCTGTTTTAGCGAGTGCTCTGAAGCTAGTAGAAGGCACTCTGTTAGCAAATTGATGATCTGGTGGATCATAGATGTTCTTTGGGTTTCATGTGGTCTTACTGAATTTTACACAGCATCTGCATGAACCTGTCTGGGATGTGTGCTTAAATAGATGCCTTAAAAGGTTTTTTCCACATAATGGTGACCTCTTCATACAGTCTCTGAACTAGAGGCACTATCAATCTGCCTAGGATTCAACACATTGTATAACGAGGATCTTGTTCTGAGGACAGAGCTGACCTCCATGCTGAACTCAGTCCTTTGGGTTTTTAGGAATGATCTTGACCACTATTCTGTTAGAAACTGCAGCATCCATGAGAGACGTGACAGTACACCTTAGACCTGTTTATTACTGGCAGATCTATTTTCATGGAACCTTTTGTTCAAAAAATTATGTGCTTTGTTTACATTCTACTCAGCCATTAGAGAAAGGAAGATTTCTTAATTAACATTAAATATGTTTCTGGGAATGCATAGTCAAACCCCAGTCAGGTTCCAGATGGAATCACAGCACATTCAGTCCACAGTGTAGCTATGTGTGGCTTTCATCATGAACGCATCTGAGGACATGTAAAGCAGAAACATGATTACACGTCCTCAGATGCAGAAGCATGACCATTTCCAACACATTTGTCAGACGTTACAAAACAGGCACCATTGCCTTGGCTGAGGCTTGCATTCCCAGGTTGCTACAGTGGGCTGTGTTATCTGTTATTCATCAGCCAGTCCCACCTTGGATAGGGCACAGATTTTTTTAAACATCTATCAATCAGGATGCTGTCCTTGGAGTATTCTGCTCAGGATATTGTTAAGGCTTCAGCAATAGTTCTAATGTGCCTCTTCCTTTTTAGAATTCGATTGCCTGGAAGTTTTGGGATTTAAACATATTCTTATTGCCAAGTTTAGAATCAAGTTACAGGAAAAAGTTTGGAATTTGAAAAAGAGTGCTTTGGACTGTTTATACAGAGAAGTTTGTTTTTCAAAAAGGATTAGATGGTGGTAGCCAAATAGTTGCTTATGTTGTATTCTAGATATCCAGAACATGATCAGAATATTGACAGCGAGTGGCAGGAACAGTTTAGACTCAGAAGTTTGGGTCAATTATATGGTTGTTCCAGAAAAGTTGGAATTAAAATTTTTTCCAATACCTTAAAAAGGATAATCTGATTTAGCATACTTATTAAGACTTGATTTTTTAAGAAAAATTAAAACACCCCATGACACCCCATGTTAATTTTGTCATAATAGCGACAAGTTCTTGAACTGGAATATTTTATAAGGAAAGAAATAAAACTAGTGTAAAGTTCAAACAAATTCAGAGCTTTATGTGGAAATTATTTTTATTGGAATGTCACTTCTAAAAATTTAAAGGCAATGTAGATGTATGTTGCTGAGATCTATGAAAAAAGCCTAAGGCACTGAAAACTCTTGACATACTAATTATAGCGTGGTTATCCCCTCATACTTTTCAACAGAATTTAACTCTTCCATGGAAGTTGCTGGGGCAGCATCTCAGTTTCATTTTTGCTCTTCATATCACAATTCCAGCTGCCAAGCTTGCCTTGTGTTTTATTAGCAGTGCCATCCATTTCATTGTTACATTTATGGTACAATACATTTTTATGAAACAATATATCGTTAGAAGTGGATTTTTTCTGTGGAAAAATAAAGAACTGGAAAACATTCTGCCCTACATCTCTGCTAAGAGTTTGTTGTACGCAGATACAAGGACCCCACGGTACATTACAAATATAGCCTGCTTCACTTTATTTTGTTAAAATATTTGGGCACGCTTAAGCATCTAAAGTGTTTGTGGTGGAATGTGCCTGCTCTGGCCTGCAGGCCCTATTCTGCCCTGTCTTCCCGAGTTTTTTCTCCACACCTGGAGAGTCTTTTCTTTCACTCTCAGGTAGGCCGTCGCCACCTTTGAATGGAATTGGCCACTGGGAGGGTCAGGACTCCCAGCTTCTCTTCCAGGTTCTGAGGCCTTGCCTCTGTGTCTCCTGCTGCCCAGTGCCTGGTCACCATGGACAGTTTACAGCCTTGTGCACCCCTGGAGAAAAAGCTGCTTGCCTGCTGTCTGATGTCCTCCTGGCGCTGCTTTTAAAGTAGCGTGTCCGAGTCGGTGGAGGTCTCTGTGTGGTACAGAAAACCACTACCAGTATAAAAAGTTATAAATTATTTCTTTAAAAGAAAAGGTTTACAAGCATGCTTTTAGCACAGCACCAGATTGAGCAAGGGGTCCAAAAGAAATGGGTAAAACACAAATCCTTTGTCCCTTTCTCTACACATGCCCTATCAGATGTTAAAACATAGGGCAGGCTCTTTAGCTTAGGAAGTTAGCAATCTCTTCAGAGTTACCATTACCTTGAAGTTGTCTTCGGCTCTTTAGGCCAGCACATGGTCAAACTGGCTGCCTTCTCAGTGGAGAGGTCAGCCTGTTCTCATGAATTCCACGAACCAAAAAGGGCTAAGCTAAACCATATATATAAAAGTACAAATATTTATTAAGATGTACGCGTGTTAAAACTTTCCTGATTAAAAATTACTTTGTCTAAGATCAGACTATAAAAGCTTATCCACTATACATACATATGATGGGTAAATACTTTACAACTGAAGACCAAGTGCATTTTGGCCCCTAAGGGCCTTCCTCAGTGGTCACTATTATCTATATATTCTAGACACACATTCAAAGACCTGTTACAGAGTTTTAGTACACATATAATTAAACCGGATGTTGTTTCCTTGTATACTTATAGTTGGACTCCTGGTATTAGTGATGGTCCATAGGTATAGCCATATCACCACCACAATTTATTCTGGTAACAGCGATTTTGTAGGTCTGAATGGGTGTTCCTCCACCTTGATGTATAATGTGACAGTGCTTGTAAATATGAAAGATACACATTTTCAGTATTTGCAACCTGTTTCTCAATGATTACACTTGTTCTAGGTAATACTGAGGTTGCAGAGGATGGTGCTAAGCAGTATGAAGCAATGTATTCATCTTGTGAACCATCCAGCAGTTCCAGTGGTGAGGAATCGGCTGTTAATGGAATGGTGTTGGCACCAGAAGATCTTGGATATCAACTCTATGAAGTTCCTGGTAAGCATCTAGCCTACACAGTGACAGCTTCAGTACTGAAAATTCCATAGGTACTGTACATGTTTGTGCTGGATGTTCAAGTTATGCTTTGTTCTTTAGATCTATAATATCATTGTCCTCCATTTTAAATGCTATGTTTACACCTCATCCCCTCCCATTTGTTTATGTATTTATTCAAATCTTTTTAAAAATCAAGTTCATTATTCTGGGAATTACCAAGAAACGTAGTAAAAACTGGAGTAGTGGTGCTCTCTATTTGATTCGTTCCACCAATATGCTTGTAGGGTCCAGCATTAAGCCTGTTTTTTGCATATTTCAAACTTGCAGACACCAAGTAACTTTTATAACTAATTTTTAATAGAACTGTAAAAGAGCGGCTTGGAGGTAGCACAAAGCCACACATTTCAAAACAACTGACAGTGAAACAATGTTTTAGGGAGCCTGAAAGGGCAGGAGAATCTTGGGTTTCAGGGAAGAATGTCTAAATGGATGTCAAATGTGGTTAGTTTTCTGATGATATCCTACAACATTGTATGTCCTTATGATAGTGACCTTGCTGATGTTCTTAGGTTGTTTTCTACACATCTTTCTTTTGAGAGAGGGTGGGTTGCATCTGTAAAATTAGAGGAGAAATAACATGCCAGAGACTTGCTCCTTCGTTTTCATAATTTTAAAAAGGATCTTAAAGTACAAGTGAGTGTAGAGTTTCAAACTATCTATGTGCCATGTACTATTGTATGCTAACACCCTAGCTCTGTTTCCATCTCTGTTTTTTAAATGCCTTCTTAAAACTCAATTGTTTAGCAAAGCTTTTCCAGGATCACTATATCTCCCTGTTGGGTGTGATGTTACTAATTTTGTTACTTTTCTGGTTCATAGTCTGAGCTAGGAGTTGGTTGTGTTAGGTTTACTATTAGTGTTAGAGAAATGATAATTTTCTGCTCGCTCATTGTCTGCAATGTAACGGTAGGGGTGAACCCTATACACATAGCACCAATGCTCCCTTTAAGCTGTGGAGTCTTGTGAGCAAAAATTCTGCTTTGTGAGCTACTGGCATTAAAGTTGTGAGCAAGCGATTTGGCTACTGCATAAATTAGTTCACTCTGGAGCCATCCTTCCTAAGCTAAGACACAAATGTGTGAGCTGGAGGGAACACTTCATAGCACATTTTTGGTCAGGACTAACACATGAGGAAAGAAAGCAGTGGATAACAAATTAATCATTCATAAAGTCCATTTCAGCATACTTCATAATCTTATCAAACTTGTATATTACTATGTCAATTGGAGAGGATGTAGTCAGCTCAGGTCAGTCATATTTTGAATGTGTTTAATAGAAACATGAATATCTTTCTCAGGTGAAGGCAACCCTATAATTTCTCCAGAAGACCTGAAAGAATGTTTGAAGAAACAACTAGAGTTCTGTTTCTCACGGTATTGTACTGCTTATTCATTTTGGCACTTTGAGCACCATCTGTTTTGGTTATATATAGTTTTCAGTAAGGGATCGTGGTCAACCAAAAAATCTAGCAGAAAATGTATTCTATTAATCTTTGATGCCAACAAATGGTGATTGAAGTGGATTGTCACTCTTTTTCCTGGCTCTGTCAAGATTCTGAAGAAAACTGGTATAGGAATGTATCGTGTGATTTGACAATTGAAATTGCCGATGGTTGCTAATATTTCAGCCCCCCAGCAGCCATTTCTGGCCCCAGGGAAGCTTATTCCTGAGGAGGGGGGAATTGCTCCTTCCTGCCTTTTGCATAAGTGGATCTTCAGTGATGAAAGAAGGAAGTGATTTTGCCTCCAACCTCTGTGGGTCTCATCCTGCAACCCCAGGGTATAAACTTTTGTGGTGTCAGAAATATATGCTGGAAGGAGGGGGGAATCAGGAAGACCAGCAACTGATGTGTGTTCCTCATGATGTCCTTGTGCTGTATCCAGTCTCAATACTTAAATGGCCCAAACTACAAAACACATGGTTTTTAGTATTTAGGGAACAGTCCTGAAAGTGTGTGAAACTACTACTTTACATAGTATTATTGGACAATGTCACCATGCATAGAATTTATTCAAGTGTATCATTGCTAGAATGTTCTTTATAGTCTGAAAGTTCCATGCTTTCTGTATTTATTCCTAGTGAGAATCTATCCAAGGATCTTTACTTGATGTCTCAAATGGACAGTGATCAATTTATTCCAATATGGACAATCGCCAACATGGAAGGAATTAAGAAACTGACAACCAATATGGATCTTATTGTGGAAGTACTGAGATGTACGTCTAAATCTTTTCATTAGCTATACAGATGTAGTCGTTTTAGTGTGTAGTCATTATCTCTCTGTTTTGTGTGATTCAAACCTTTGTATGGTTCTGACCAGTGCTCCCTCTAAGCTGTGGAGTCTTGTGAGCAAAAATTCTACTTTGTGAGCTACTGCTATTAAAGTTGTGAGTTAGCAATTTGGTCACTGCATAAAGTTTGCTCTGAAGTCATCTTTCCTGAGCTAAGACAAAAATGTGTGAGTTGAGGGCTAAAAAACTGTGAGCTAGCTCACATTAACTCAGCTTAGAAGAAACACTGGTTCTGACAGTTCTTGATCTTACATAAAGTAGTCTCTAGTTTAGTCAAATGAACCATATAAACCTTACATGAAATCTTCACTAGTTTCTTAATTTCTTTCCCTCTGATTAGGGTATTGAAAAGCATACCTTTTTGACTATTAGAAGTTACTTTGCTATTCATACCTTGAAACAGTAGATGCATGTCCATATGTTATCTGAGTAAGATGTCTTATAATTTTTTTGAAACAGTCCTCTGTGCCCTTGAAATAAAATTAGCTGCTGTGTCAGATTTTATCTTGATTTATTCCACCTCTTAAGCAAAGACTTGTCTACTTGATTCCTTATTGAAAAGAGATATCCATCCACCTCTGCAGTAGATTGCTTTTAGAAATAGAATGTACCTGTAGATGTGTCAGGAGTAGTACCTATGTTACCAGGACTAGAGAGGTTTAAATGAGAATAAATAGAAATTAAACCAAATCGGTCAGAAGAGATGTGATTGATATGATGTGTCATTTGTGGTGGTGTTCTTAGTGTTGTAGGAGCTGCAGTGGCTCAAGTGGTTAAGACGCTGAACTGCAGGCTGTGGAAGGTCAGTAGTTCAGTAGTTCAGCAGTTCGACACCCGAGTTGCTGCATGACGGAGTGAGCTCCCGTCTCTAGTTCCAGTTCCTGCCAACCTAGCAGTTTGAAAGCAAGAAATTGCAAGTAGATAAATAGGTACCACTTCGGTGGGAAGGTAACAGCGTTCCGTGCGCCTTGATGTTTAGTCATGTCGGCCACATGACCACGGAAACGTCTTTGGACAGCGCTGGCTCTTCGGCTTTGAAAAGGAGATGAGCACCGCAACCCTAGAGTCGGACTCGACTGGCTTTCGAGCAAGGGAACCTTTACCTTTACTTTTTTTCTTAGTGTTGTATCTATTCCCAGAAACGAAAAAATATTCTTTCTTTTTTTTAAATAGCTTCTCCTATGGTCCAAGTAGATGAGCGAGGAGAAAAAGTTAGGCCAAACCACAAACGATGCATTATTATTCTCCGTGAGATTCCTGAAACGACACCTATAGAGGTAAAGATCTGTCCTGGAGCTTGTCATAAATTTGGTCACCTAAGAAAATGCTAGATATGAAGTGATTGATCACATATCAGGATTAAAGCTATGTTAAGTGTGATGGTAACCTTGCTTGAACTGTGAATATAGGCTTTTGGGTAGCTGGCCACACCAGTATTTAACTCATTCTAGACATATGTATTTATATATGTCTTACGTGACATAGTAATGTGAGCAGAGTGGCATTCACAGAAGCACACTTTTCCTCCTCCTTGTACCCTTGGGGGTTAGACCCCCCCTTAGTGGAAAATAAATTGGAAAGGGGAATTGGTGAGAATTGTCCATCCCTTCACCATTAATGAAATGCACCTTGCCGGTAGAAAACATGTTATGTTTATTATGTGTTATATATATATTATATATAAGCTGTTATTAAGTGTTATAAGCTGTTATGTGTATTAAAGTTGTTTGCATACCTTTTGTTTGTCATAATGACCCAGCTTCACCAAGGAAAGATGACATAAGCACGAGTTATTCATACAATGGCTTTTTACAAAGAAATGTTAAGCTAATTCTGTTAGTTGTTAAGATGGCTTCTTAATTAAAGTTTCTTAGCCATGGATATGGAATTAGTTTGGAACTGTACTTTGCAGACAGTTTTGTTTAGTTGATCACAGTGGTGCTGACTTAAGATAAAATGTTAGCATTATCTTGTTTGGAAGTTATGTTTCTGAACTGGATTGTCATCTACTGAGTTGGGAGATAAATGATGTGCTGTCACAAATTGTTCTTCCGTGTGGACAAGTGTCTAATTCAGCTTGAGTGTTCTTTTTCCCCCTGTAGTAGGATTTGTAAAATATTAAAAAGCAAGATAAAATGTAACAATAATGATAAATGTACTCACAGCGGTGCATATAAAGTCATACACTCATTCTTTCTTGTCTTTGGGCCCAAATATTAAAATGGCTGACATCTATGTTAATAGAAACTGTCAGAGGTGATTGGAAATGTAGAGTTTGGATTCTGGGTTTACATACAGCAATTATTTACTAAAATAGTCTTCATTTTTTTGCTCCAGGAGGTGAAGGCATTGTTTAAAAATGAAAGCTGCCCCAAAGTGATAAGTTGTGAGTTTGCTCATAACAACAACTGGTATATTACATTCCAGTCGGATACTGATGCACAGCAGGTAAGAGTATCATGTGGTGTTCTGCGTTTTACAGTGCTTTCATTCTATTCTGTTTATTTGCAGGACCTCATAGAATAGGATCCAAAATAAGTGTAGGTGGAGCTCTGTGAGCAGCAGCATGGTTCTCCTCTCCACCTTGTGTTCTGCAGCCCTTCACACCACCTGAAAACTGCTCCTGAGTACTGAAGGATCCTTGGGAACAGACTGGAATGTGGTGCGAAGGGCTAATTGTAAAAAGGAATCCAAGGAAACCAG